GTGTTCTCATTGTTCAACACTCACTTATGAGTAAGAACATGCAGTGTTTGGTTTTCTGTTCTTGTGTCAGTTTGCTGAGAATGATGGTTTCCAGCTTCATCCATGTCCATGCAAAGGACATGAACTCATCCTTTCTTATGGCTGCATAGTATTCCATGGTGTATATGTGCCACATTTTCTTTATCCAGTCTATCTTTGATGGGCAATTGGGTTGGTTCCAAGTCTTTGCTACTGTAAACAGTGCCATAATGAACATATGTGTGCCTGTGTCCTTATAATAGAACGATTTCTAATCCTTTGGGTATATACCCAGTAATGAGATTGCTGGGTCAAGTGATATGTCTATTTCTAGATCCTTGAGGAATCACCACACTGTCTTCCACAATAGTTGAACTAGTTTATACTCCCACCAACACTGTAAAAGTGTTCCTATTTCTTCACATCCTCTCCAGCAACTGTTGGCTCCAGATTTTTTTATGATCACCATTCTAACTGGCATGAGATAGTATCTCAATGTGGTTTTGATTTGCATTTCTTTAATGACCAGTGATAATGAACATTTCTTCATGTTTGTTGGCTGCAAAAATGTCTTCTTTTGAAAAGTGTCTGTTCATATCCTTTGTCCACTTTTTGATGGGATTGTTTGTTTGTTTTTTGTAAATTTGTTTAAGTTCTTTGTAGATTCTGGATATTAGTCCTTTGTCAGATGGGTAGATTGCAAAATTTTTTTTCCCATGCTGTTGGTTGCTGGTTCACTCTAATGATAGTTTCTTTTGCTATGCAGAAGCTCTTAGGTTTAATTAGATCCCATTTGTCTATGGTGGTTTTTGTTGCCAGTGCTTTTGGTGTTTTAGTCATGAAGTCCTTGCCTATGCCTATGTCATGAATGATTTTGCCTAGGTTTTCATCTGGGTTTTTATGGTATTAGATCTTATGTTTAAATCTTTAATCCACCTGGAGTTAATTTTTGTATAATGTGTAAGGAGTTTTTCCCAACACCATTTATTAAACAGAGAATCCTTTCCCCATTGCTTGTTTTTGTCCGGATTGTCAGAGATCAGATGGTTGTAGATGTGTGGCATTACTTCCGAGGCCTCTGTTCTGTTCCATTGGTCTGCTTTGGTACCAGTATCATGCTGTTTTGTTTACTGTAGCCTTGTAGTATAGTTTGAAGTCAGGTAGCATGATGACTCCAGCTTTGTTCTTTTACTTAGGATTGTCTTGGCTATGCAGGCTCTTTTTTCGTTCCATATAAAGTTTAAGGTGTTTTTTTCCAGTTCTGTGAAGAAGGTCAATGGCAGCTTGATGGGGGTAGCATTGAATCTATAAATTACTTTGGGCAATATGGCCATTTTCACAATATTGATCCTTCTTAACCATGAGCATGGAATATTTTTCCATCTGTTTGTGTCCTCTCTTATTTCCTTGAGCAGTGGTTTGTAGTTCTCCTTGGAGAGGTCCTTCACGTCCCTTGTTACTTGTATTCCTATGTATTTTATTCTCTTTGTAGCAATTGTGAATGGGAGTTTGCTCATCATTTGACTCTGTTTGTCTGTTATTGTTTATAGGAATGCTTGTGTTTTTTGCACATCAATGTTGTAACCTGAGACTTTGCTGAAGTTGCTTATTATCTTAAGGAGATTTTGGCCTGAGAGGATGGGGTCTTCTAAATATACAATCATGTCATCTGCAAATAGAGACAATTTGACTTCCTCTTTTCCTAATTGAATACGCTTTAATTTCTTTTTCTTGCCTGATTGCTCTGACCAGAACTTCCAATACTATGTTGATTAGGAGTGGCGAGAGAGGGCACCCTTGTCTTGTTGCCAGTTTTCAAAGAGAATACTTCCAGTTTTTGCCCATTTAGTATGATACTGGCTGTGGGTTTGTCATAAATAGCTTTTATTATTTTAGATATCTTCCATCAATACCTAGTTTATTGAGAGTTTTTAGCATAAAGGGCTACTGAATTTAGTCAAAGGCCTTCTCTGCATGTATCAAGATGATCATGTGGCTTTTGTCTTTGGTTTTGTTTACGTGATGAATTATGTTTATAGATTTGCATATGTTGAACCTGCCTTGCATCCTAGGGATGAAGCCAACTTGATCGTGATGGATAAGCTTTTTGATGTGCTGTTGCATTTGGTTTCCCAGTATTTTATTGAAGATTTTTACATCAATGTTCATCACAGACATTGGTGTGAAATTTTCCTTTTTAGTTGTATCTCTTCCAGGTTTTGGTATCAGGATGATGTTGGTTTTATAAAATGAGTTAGGAGGATTTCTTCTTTTTGTACCATTCAGAATAGTTTCAGAAGGAATGGTACCAGCTCCTCTTTGTACCTCTAGTAAAATTTGGCTGTGAACCCATCTGGTCCTGGACTTTTTTTGGTTGGCAGGCTATTAATTGCTGCCTCAACTTCAGACCTTGTTATTGGTTTATTTAGGGACACAACTTCTTCCCAGTTTAGTCTTGGGAGGGTGTCAGTGTCCAGGAATTTGTTCATTTTTTCTAGATTTACTGGTTTATGTGCATAGAGGTGTTTGTAGTAATCTCTGATGGTAGTTTATATTTCTATGGAATCAGTGGTGATATCCCATTTATCATTTTTTATTACATCTATTTGGTTCTTCTCTCTTTTCTTTTTTATTAGTCTGGCTAGTGGTCTATTTTGTTGATCTTTCAAAAAAAACAGCTCCTGGATACATTGATTTTTGGAAGGGCTTTTTGTGTCTCTATCTCCTTCAGCTCTGCCCTGATCTTAGTTATTTCTTCTCTTCTGCCAGCTTTTGAATTTGTTTGATCTTGCTCCTCTAGTTCTTTTAATTGTGACATTAGCGTGTGGATTTTAGATCTTTCCTTGCTTCTCATGTGGGCATTTAGTGCTATTCTAGACACTGCTTTAAATATGTCCCGGAGATTCTGGTGTGTTGTGTTTTCATTCTCACTGGTTTCAAAGAACATCTTTATTTCTGCCTTCATTTCGTTGTTTATCCAGTAGTCATTCAGGAGCAGGTTGTTCAGTTTCCATGTAGTTGTGTGGTTTTGAGTTGAATTTCTTAATCCTGAGTTCTAATTTGATTGCACTGTGGTCTGAGAGACTGTTTGTTATGATTTCTGTTCTTTTGCATTTGCTGAGGAGTGATTTACCTCCAATTATGTGGTCAATTTTAGAGTAAGTGTGATGTGGTGCTGAGAAGAATGTATATTCTGTGGATTTGAGGTGGAGTGTTCTGTAGATGTCTATTAGGTCTGCTTGGTCCACATCTGAGTTAAGTCCTGGATATCCTTGTTAATTTTCTGTCTCGTTGATCTGTCTAATATTGACAGTGGAGTGTTGAAGTCTCCCACTATTATTGTATAGGAGTCTAAGTTTCTTTGTAGGTCATTAAGAACTTGCTTTATGTATCTGGGTGCTCCTGTGTTGGGTGCATATATATTTAGGATAGTCAGCTCTTCTTGTTGCATTGATCCTTTTACCATTATGTAATGCCCTTCTTTGTCTCTTTTGATCTTTGTTGGTTTAAAGTCTATTTTATCAGAGACTAGGATTGCAACCGCTGCTTTTTTTTTTTTCTCTCTCTCTCTCCATCTGCCTGGTAAATCTTCCTCCATTTGGCTTGCCTATGTTTTCCAAATTTCCTCCAATAAATATGCATTACTTTTATAATGAAAAACTTTATATTTTTGAAAACTACATTATCTTGACTAAATAATGCCTCAGTATTAATAATAGTAACATAGTAATAGAGCAGGGAAGGAAGGAAAGGAAGAGAAAGAAATCCTCAGATAATTTGTCCTTAAGTCTCCACTTTTACCAGTTTTAAATATTATTTGACAATTCCTCTGAAATTGGCTGTTTTTACCAATCTGTAAGAGTCAGGAGGAACCATTTTGGTCAACTAAAGGCAGATTATCCAGTTTCAAGATTTCAAGTGAAATAAATTTAATTCAATATAATAGCAAATGCTTCTTTATATGTAATACTGAGAAGTCAGAAGATGATGAATTAATAATTGATGTATTAATGTATTTATTCAACTGGTGTTAGAAACCATGCAACATGCTAAAGATAATAGCATGAACGAATGAACACAGATTAACTATACATTTTATTTTTTA